AGGTGGTAGAAATTCTAGTTTATAAACTCGTATTCAAAGGGGAAGTCATACCAGTTCGTCATGGACTATAATTATACCTGTTCTCCGCAGTGAAAGGCCGAACCAGCCAGTAAAAATACCAGTTCATTAACGAGTATGTGCTAGAGCGGAAAATTGACATCTCCTATGACACCGCCATGTTAAAAATACCAGTGGCTTATATTGAAAAAGGATACAACGTGAACCAGTTGGGGGAAAACGCAAACTGGCAGCATTCTAGTTCACTACTAGTATCTTTCTCTGCAGGGACTATACATAATTTTCATTGTGTTGAATGAAATTAATTGTTTTACATTTAACCAGTTTAAATTACTCAGTAATGACGATATGCTGTTATCGTATCTTGAGTTATATATATGTACACTTAGGTCTCTTTTTATGCGGTACATGCGTTCCTCAGAAAGCCGCATAAAAAAGTTCTTTACTTTAATACAAAAACAGGGGATGCGTTCCAGCATTTTCAAAAACCGCATAAATTCAGATACTCCATGTAAAAAATCCTAAAAATCCGCATAAGAAAATTCAGTGAGGCATTATTAAGTAAAAAAAATATTTATTTCTTCATTTCAACACCTATTATTCCTTGTAAAACTGAACATTAATGAAATAAATAAAATTTTATCTGTATTTTAACCAAAAATAAATAAAAATACCACAATGAATACATGAATTATGTAAGAATACAAAGACAAATTACTTATCAGAAGCATTGCCTCTTACACACTGAAAAAAGTAATAAAAACTCTCAAAATCGCTACTATGAAATAATGGTTTGAAAAACCGTATAAAAACGCCGCATACAAAGAGACCTAAGTGTATGTCCCACATAGGGTGTTCGATTATTCGCCTTTTTTTCAACACCAGTTTTCGGGTTATTCGAAACTGGTTTTATTTTACATAGTTTTCATACAGTGGAAATGCTTACCTTGGTATGAAGCTATGACCAAAAATTACAATAAAACTAATGACAGTAAAGACACTTTTTATTTAAAAAAGAGCAACGCAAAATAAGTTTTTTGTTTTAGATCAAAAGAAATTAAATTAAAATCTTTTTTTACACTTTGTTGCATTTTTTCTGACATTTTTCGTATTTTCCGCCGTACCCAAGTACTTAGATGTACCTACTGCCACTCGCGATATTGGAGGAGAAGCTCTGCCAAATACGTAGATAACGTCTAAGCCCCAAACATTCATTTATTGGAATTAAATATGATATACTGTTCATCCCCAAATAAGCTAGGATATAATTTTAAAACTATTTAGAAGTTTTCATGCACTGGAAAAAGACTTGAAAACTTCGAAAAACTCTAAACATAAATCGAGAGTCAAGATTTGTATGAAATGAAAAAACCGGATTGTTCGATGAAAAAATCCGGCTCGATATTCGAAGAATCAAGTTTTAAAAAAACCGCCCATAGATGTCCAAAAAAGCCAGTGGAAAGCGGTTTGGAAAAACCCGAATCAGTCACCGTAGTCCCACCCCTCTAGTTTGCATTTTTTGAAGTTTATCTGTGTGTATTCTTCTCCTTCTTATTTGGCGCTGTAACCGCCAAAGCGATTTTGGCCGATTTCGACACAGCAAGCCCATCGTTTCTCTACTGTGCCAACTGACGCCAATTGGAAATGGCAAGTGAAGCCAAGTAGTTCTCCACTTGGTCTTTCATCGCAGTGGGGGCCTCCCTCTTCTACTGCTACCACCAGCGGGTTCCGAGTTGACTACTTTCAGAGCTGGAGTGTCGGAGTCCATTCGAACGTCATGGCCAAGCCATCGGAGCCGCTGTATTCGCTGCACTATGTCCATGTCGTTGTAAAGCTCATACAGCTCATCATTCCATCGTCTGCGGTACTCGCCAACGCGTAAAGGCCCGTTAATCTTCCGCAAAATCCTTCTCCCGAATACTCCAAGAGCCACCTCATCGGATGTTGTCATTATCAATGCTTCTGCTCCATAAACCAACACGGGCTTGATGAGTGACTTATAGAGTGTGGTTTTCATACGTCGAGAGATGACTTTACTCCTGAATTGCCTACTCAGTCCAAAGTAGCACTTGTTAGCAAGAGTGATACTGCGTTGGATTTCAATGCTGACATCATTATCCGTGTTAATTCTGGTCCCAAAGTAAACGAAATTCTCTACTTTCTCGAAATTACAACTGTCAACAGTGACGTGGGTGCCAAGGCGCGAATGCACTGACTGTTTGTTTGATGACAGGAGATATTTCGTATTAGCCTCGTTGACCGCAAGATCCATTCGCTTGGCTCCTTTTGCATTTTGGAAAAAGCAGAACAGACTTCGCGGTTCTTGTTACCGATGATGTCGATGTAATCGGCGTACGCCAGAAATCGCAGGCTCTTGTATAAAATTGTTCCTGAGCGGTTCAGTTCTTAAGCTCTTGCTGGAAAGGGAGTATTCCTGTCTGAAACCCCGTTTGGTAGCTAACGGCTCGGAGAGCTCTTTCCCAGTTCGCACGGAGCTGGTGCTTTTGCTCAACGTCATTTTACACAGCCGTATCAGTTTCACGGGCATGCCAACTGCAGATATCGCGACGTATAGGCACCTCCTTTTAGTGGAATTGTGTTCCCTCCATAATTTAAGTACGTTCTATACATCAATCAGTAGTTCGCCATTGTGTTCTTACAAGAGTTCACCCTGGCCGTCAGTTGCCTTACTATTTGGGCGTTTTTCCTGTCGGCCAGCATTTCAAGCTCTTCGCACTCTCGTATTTCTGTCTCTCTCTTTTTATTGTGGCAAATACGTCTCGCTTCCATCCTCAGCTCCCTATTACGATCCAAAATGGCTCGCGTTGCGACCGATCCCAGCGTGGCCCTATAGGCGGTATCTTTTTTCTCTGCAGTTTCTTGATACTCCTCATTGTACCACTTGTTCTTTCGGGCTCGCTGAAATCAGACTACTTCTTCGGTGGTGGTACTTAATGAACGGGAAATGTGGTTCCACTGCTCGCATATGTCGGTTTATTGAAAAGTGCTCTCTGAGAGTAAGTATGAGAGTCGAGTAACGATTGCATTGGCCGCCTGTTGTGACTGCAGCTTTTCGAAGTTAAGCTTTCTTGTAGTTTTGGGTCCACATTTTTTTCTGCACAGAGGTGGGTGTGTATCCTGGCTGCAATAAGGTAGTAGTCCGAGTCGATGTTTGGGCCTCGGAGTGTACGGACATCTAAAATACTGGAAGCGTACCTTCCGTATCTCACAACATGATCGATTTGGTTTCTCGTTTTTCGATCTGCAGACTACCACGTAGCTTGAAGTATCTTTTTATGCTTGAACCTAGTACTGCATTTCGGGGCCCGGCACCTACTGGTGAACATATGCTGCAGACTTCACTGAGCCTTTAAATCGAATAGGTCGGAGTGGCCTCACCGAGTCTCCTTCTCTTTCTGACGTGACTCAATGCTTCACTAGGATTGGCTTCCGAATCTTGCACATAGGTTGCTCACGTTTCCCAGAGTGCGCGAACGAGGACGCAAGAGTCGGGATTGAGTATAGTCGTGCAACTGTAACTGCATACCCAGCGCAACGACTAAACCCCATGCACTGCAATATGTGTGTCAGAAGTTATGAATAAAGTGGTTGAGCGGTATATGAAATGTGGCTCAGTAATAGCTCCATAAACTATAATTTTGTATCTCCTACTTAGATGTTTACATATCCTTTTTTATGCGCATCTCTTTTGACAGTTGAAGATCACAATCGTCCACAGTTGGTGATGCGACTCTTACGACGGTATTCACAGAATGGGAGTCTGTGTAAGTGGTAACGATCTCCCTTGTGAATTACCAGTATGTGCAGCCCTGGGTCCAGTGGTTGTTGTACACAGCCCTGAACATCATCCTTCAGTTCGTGGAGATGCCTCCTGATGTTGAACGTTTCTTGGTATTTTCCCCTAGTTCTGCCTGCTAGCAATTTGAGGACTTTGTTGCGGCTCTGTACTTTATTGGCAATTGTGGTTGTGTGCGCCGAGAAAGAGAGTATGCTGTCGAAGCTCACTCCGAGTATTTAAAATTCGCTGACGATTGCGACGGTGCACATTGCATTCAGCCCATCTCAACGAGGTTGGGTTGCTGTGCAACTTCGTCTCTTGGATCCCAGATATCAGTATTCCCTGACGGCCCACGGCTGCATTGTGTCCCTTCATTCACAGTTTCTAAAAATCAGTTGATTTCAAAAATCTGCCACTGCTACTGTGCTATTGTAGTTTGATGTTAATGATGCACTCCCGGATTTATATTTGACATGAAAGTAGGGTTGCCGAATGCAATTCTTTAACGCTAGTTTTACTGATTTTGACTTTCCATAACTCTCCAAAAATAAAACTCTGCAAAAATAACCCAAAATTCGAGACCACATAACAAAGTCATTGGGGCATACTATTCATAGTTGAAGTAAAGACGAACTCCAAAAACCAAACGCTAACTTTGAAAAAAATAATATTGTGCATTTGATACTCAAGAAGGAAATTTGTAGGGTGTTGAAGAACGAGTCTGTGGTTATAAGCAATAACCGCCTAGGTCGAAAAACCTCAAACGAAACGAGAAAAAACGTTTTAAGCATTTGGATTGTAATGTTAACCTTTTGGGGAAACCAAAATATGTTCGTCTATAACATTTAAATAGCCTAGCTGGCGAGATCGGGACTTCACATGCACATGGAATAGTAGTTGAGGAATACGATAGCATATATAACTCAATTATTTCTTAAGTCGACTTAGGCGGTTATTGCTTATGACCACAGAAATATACTCCGCAGATATGCACGAATTAGATAAATCTTTTAATTGTTCTGATAATCACAAATGGTAGGCAATTTTTTTGCTAGCGCATGTACTGAAGCGTTTTAAACCGTTTTCGACTTTTCTCAACGTAGCGTATAACATTCTTTTAAATTACAGTCTTTTAATAGCCGCTTTGATTTTCAATGTCTGAGTAAATAAATTTACTTTCTAGATGCGCGAAGACTTTGATAAAAATTCGGTTACAAATATCGACGACGAAACCTGTCCACACGATGTTGCAACGTTACTTAAAGAATTCCTGCGGGATCTACCCGAGCCGCTACTCTGCAGTGGACTTTACAAGGCATTTCTCGAAACACAGCGTAAGTGCCAAGTGTCTTCGTTAGTGATGGCAAAACAAAATTATAATCGATTAATTGATCAAATGCTTAACCGAAACATCCGATTATAAATTGCAATTAATCGTAAGAAGTTACGCGTTTAATAGTTCATTTCGATTAAAATCTAAAATATCTATATAAAAACCATTTAATAACTTATAGAAAATTATGTGACATATTCACAGTCGAAATAAAGTCTACTCTAAAGTTAGTTTCAGCTTTATGCACTTTTATTAAAGTATACATTTCTTGTTAAAAGTAGTACATTTATGCTATGAATTCAGTGGGTTGACAATCAGAAAAACTAAACGCGAAGGAAAAACAATAAAAACACTGGAAAACTAGCATACCATCCGCTGTAAGCAATAAATACACTTCAATGTGAGAATGAATGTGAAATTTTTATTGTGACGTAAATCTTCCCTATTGCAATAAATATCCCATTAAAAGTTGAAGAATTAAAAGGTTCTTTAGAAATACATATAAGAATCCGCAAATCTTAATGTTCACATGCAAGTGTCTGACGTACGCTTCTTAAATATTTTTAAACCAATTTAAGTTATAATTTTTTAATATATGTTTTGACTCTAACTTTTGGTATGATGTTTATTTCAAAAAGCGAAAGAGCCAAACTAAATATTAGTTTTGATCCCGTATGAGTCTGAACATACCTTTTTTTACCAGAATTTACCAGATTTTACTGGAAATTGATCCCGTACTCGATTCTCTGGCAACTGAGAGGACAAATGAGATACTAAAAAAGATCCTCTCTTTGTCAAAAGTTGCCAGTTTTAGTCCAAACATTTTTTGCTGGTAAATTCTGGTAAATGTGTCAAGTGTTTGACAACGAAATTATAAACAAAGGAAAAGTGCACTTTGCTAATGCATGTTATAAAAAATTTAATAACTGGTTTGAGTGGATTCTAATGAATTTGTAAGTATGTTTGGTTATTTACATGTGTGAGGCTGAGTGCTTTTACTTACAAAATAAGCAAAATTTTACAAGCAAAATTTGGAGGTTATGTTGAAGTGGTCAGAAATTACCATTTTTTACTAGAACGCGATCCCGTACTTTGCAGTGTTACTCTCTCGCTCTGAGCGAATTTTTATTTTTTTTTTTGAGTTTTACTCGATTTAGTCCGAGGAATACAGGATCAACCATATTATAGCGGCAAGAGTTGTTTTGTGCGTATTAAGGCATTCGCAAAAAGCAACACTTGCCGCCATAATATTTTATGCACACGTATGTACTTCTTTTCATTTTGTTAGTGCGAACAGCACTTGTCATTTCCCAGACAGAAATGGTCACATAATTATATTCATGCCACCAGGACTGTATCGGCTTTAGGCGGTGTACCATCCAGGATGCATCTTTTTGTCCTAGGAAACTAAAGAAAAAATAGCGTACGTGCTACTGAATTTGAACCAGTGACGGACAAGTAAGTAGTCGAACACGCATATAGTCGAACATGCAGATGCAACTTCGATACTGAGGGCGTTAAGGATTACTATAGAATTGCATTCTACATATATATAATCCATTCATCGATTCGTAAATAACTCATCTTCAGAGTCGTTGCAAGAAACTTAATGAATTTTATCATGCACCTGACCAGAAAACCCCCTCCGATACATCTTTTCGTACAATTGTATTCGTAAATCTTTTCTTGATATAGGATAAACCAATAAATCAAAAATGAAATGAAAACGAACCCGCATTATTGAAATAACCGAGAGGTTGCTTCTCTAAGCGACCCACAGTGTTTCGACTATATGAACGAAGGTGGAAAAAAGTCACGGTGACAGTTGATTAAAAAACATGTTGCGCTGAGAAAGGGAATAGTAAAAGTCATAAATACAAAATTTCACATCACCTCTCTATGAAGGGTACATTTCCAAAGAAATACTAGAATCGGTAATTTTTCTCGTTAGTGGCGTGGTGCGCCAACAAATCAGACAGATTTGAAAATATTCAAACTCTTCTGACTTGTTCGACCGTTATAACGCGTTAGTGGCGCTGTTCCCGAACATTAACCATGTCGTCTGATCAGTTTGCTTTTAACCCATTTCGTCATATCAGAGTAATTTGAACCATTGAAGTGAGCACATGGCGGGACATTGCAAATAAGCGATTTTTAGAAGACTTGTTTTTATTTTTAAATTTTGAAGGGAGAAGTTGCGATTTGGCAAAGTAAAAGTGAAAAATATAAAGATAGGAATTAAAGCAAAAATTATGGAAGAAACTGTTGGAGAAGTTGAGGGAAGTGGACAAAATTGCCACGATAGAAACTTTAAAAAATATCAGGGCATACAAGCCTTCTACAGCCGGGAATTGCAAAACATTCGGAAAAGTGAGAAATCTAGAGCAGGCTCTGAAGATGTATATGTTCCCACGTTGTGGTACTTTAAAAATTTAGAATTCTTGCGGGACCAAGAATTGCCGCATGAGGGCTTTTCGACGATGGAAGATTCTTTGGAAGAATATACTAGAAAATTAAGTGTAATTTTGCATTTTAAATATTTTTTTTTCAGTTAACGGTAGTAAACTATTGTTAGAATTTTAGCTTTGTATGTACACAGTTATTGCACCCTTTGCTATTGTTTATATTCTGTTTGCGCATTGTAATGGTCTAATTATGCATACTTCGCACAACTTCGCATAAACTTCAAACTGTAATTTCGTATGTACTTTGTATGTATGTTGTATGTATTCCATTACCCAGAAATTAGCAGAACTTTTAAAAACTTAGTGATCTGTTGAGTTTAGATTTCGCTTCACATTTTCTTAAGTTACTTTTCTATTGCACTGGTACAAATGGTTGTGCGAAGAATGCATAATCAGACCTTTATGCTGTTTCTTACGCTGTTATACATCTACTTACATGTGTACATATGGATGGTTGCATGTACATATGTATGTAGGAATGTACATATATACTTGTTTTCGCTTATTTTCAAGGCTCTTCATATCCAGAGTCTTTGTATGCATAAAGCGGGGAAGGAAATCCTACCTAACAATGGGCAAACGGAGGACAAACAATGCTCTTGCTCCTCTCTTGTCATGTACGGAATAATAATATTGTTTTTTTTTTGTTCTATTTAAAAACAGTTCACTTGTACCCGTCCTCCGTTTTATGCTTTTTCTTTTGTTTTTTCATGCATAAATAACCAAACATGCAACCCTATCATCCGCTTCATCGCTCATAAATATTTATCTCGCTGAAGTTCAAGTGCGATCTGATTTGTGCGACGTTAGTGGCGAAATGCTGCGCGAACAAATCAGATGGATTTGTTCGCTGTTAGTGCCTAGCTTAGGGCCAGTTACTCAATGTCTGGTTAATGTCTGGATTATAATGGAAGTAACGGAACGGAGTGAACTGTCACTTAATTATCTATTGTATGGGAAATGAATTCAAACGGTTATTATGCACTTGAACGCAATGTAAAACGGAAGCATCTAAAATCAATAGATCCTTACGAATTCGCCGAGATTTGTTACGATTCGCCCCGTGCATTATAACCAAGGTATAACGTTAATCTGCGGTTAAAAATCGTTATCGGCGTCTTTGACTCCATGTATACAACAGGGAGTCGATAACTATGTTTAACCGGAGATTAGTGTTAACCAGACATTGAGCAACCGGCCCTTAATCAGTTTAGGCGCTGAGCTTCTATGGGCACGTCTTTTTTTCAACTATAATTAATTCTTTAAGGGCCGGTTTTTCAATAGTCAGATAAGCCACGAATAAGTACTAACTCGACGGATAAGTCGAAATGGCGTTGTACAATAGTCTGTTAAAGTTTATTCGGCGAATAATTAACCTAACTGAGGAATAAATTTATCCCGCGATTCGTTCGCCATATAAGGGCCGCATAGCAATTGACACATGGTTTTGATGTTTCTGCAGTTCGGAAATGTGTGTATGCTTACGTACTAGTTTCTGATAGTTCGTAACAATTGTTACGAATTATCATATTTTATCGTTTTCGTAGAGGAATGGCAAGATTTTACTTGGATAAGTTCTTACTTGTAACAATTTGCCAGTAAAAACAGCTTAGGATAGCTCTCTCATCGAGAGATTTCTGGAAATTAAGTTATTGTTCAGTTACTGGATATTTTCTTACATGAACAGACATGTAGCAAATAATTTGCAACAATTACCACAAATTATTACCTTTTGGTGTTAATGTATCCAAAAATCTCTCAAAGTTGGGGAAAGTGACAGTTCCCTTGAATGGTAAGTTACAAATATTTACTGGACAAATTTTAACTTGCAAGAATAAAAACAGCTGATCGCATGTCGCTGGCGCAATTCACACTAATATAGGGGTTTCCATCGTCATACAAAATAATATCTGTTAGTGTATTCTCCAGTTAACAAATATATTGCCAATAACATAGTTTCCAGGAGTCGCTCTCAATGAGAGAACTATCCTAAAAAGTACGAAAACGCAAACCTTGCAAGCTGTTAATAGTTTTATGACATTTTAATTAAATTTTTATTTTGGCAATTTTAACTTTACAATTCCAAAAGTTAATGCCCTTGCTTTTGTAAAATGCAAGAGGCTCATTACATGCTTTTTTTAAAGGCAAATTGTTACAGGTAAGAATTTATCAAGTAAAATCTTATAACTTCCTCTAAAATTTTTCCTCTCTCAACTTCTCCTACTTTGCAAATTTCATGCACGTTTTTGCGCACAAAAACGCCAAAAGATGATAATTTGTAACAACTGTTACGAACTATCATGAACTAGTACGTAACTTAGGGTTTACACCGGACAATACTGTCATGACAACAGCAATACGTGCATGCACACTTTTTCACTAATACATGCATACTTTACCAATTGTCTCAATCACTGTCTTGATTATTTTCAATCGGATAATGATTTGACGTATGCAGACAATAATTTTGACGTATTTTGCAAGAAAAAAGAGAAATTCATAACAAAAGATCTAAAATAACACTAGAGACGCTGAT